GATAGACAATAAAATATAAAATATTCAATAATATAACATATACAGTACTTATGGTAGTGCAAAAAGAACAGTCAGTAAAGGCAGTAGTTCTTTGGGAAATATCTAGCGTTAACATTATGCCCAAACCCCAACAATAATATATAAATTATATATATGTAATATGCAGAGGTGCAGATCCGATATCAGGACACAAAAGTGATTTTTTGTTTTGCCCGTACGCAACTCATACCCTGCCACCATAAATCACAACTTCGTAGAGGCTCATTGAAAAAGTACTGCACAGGGAATCATTTATTGTGCTTACCTTTCTTGTTTATTTGTGCTGATTTAACAGCCAACAGGTGGAATGTGGAGTCAGAAATATATTCGTCAAACATTATGTGTTCCACCATTTCAATCATTTCTTTTTAGATGTGAATCTAAAATGTGAAGAGTGTGAAGTCTGAAAATACATTTGTTCAATTTTGAATACCTAACCTAACCTAAAAACTGTGATATTCTTTGTTTTTCTGTTTTGTTTTGTTTTTGCGCTACTTTGCCCTATCGCTGCTCGCTGTGTCAAATTAAATTTCTCCTTAGGGGGATAAATAAAGGAATTATCTTACTTTATCTTATCTTAATAATTTAGGGTATTTTTTATTATTTATTTATTTCAGAAATAGATATAAATAGAGCCGTAGACTTTGTGGTCTGTGAAAAATAAATAAAATAAAATAAATAAAAATACTCCCCCGTGTAGTTCCACACCCTGACTGTAGGGGGCAGCAACACGCCGCTGTGGAAGAACTCCGTCATCTCGTGCAAACACGGTGAAACTGCGCCGCCGTAGAAACCGGAGCCGGATGTGACGTTTGACCCACAGCTCCGGGACCGCGTTGGGTAAGAAGTGTGTGCAGCTGCTGTGTTTGGGCGAATTAAAGCCTTTATCCACCTGATCTGTTGCATAAAAACAAACGCTAGGGTTGCCGGTGGTCGGTGTGGAGGATTGTAACGTGAAATAACGTTTTCAACCGCCGTGATTAAACCCACTAACCAACGTGAGCTAGCTAGCTTAGCGTGACGTTAGCTACCCCCGTTAATGTTTGCGTTTAACAAAATGGCCAGTAGTAGTTTTTAATCTGTAACTGATGGTTCGTGTATTTGAGCTTATGCTCCTCATACGACCGGGTTTATGTGGCCGGTTTAGGCGTCGTTTGTCCGGCTTTAGCTCGCAGCTACACCGGCTCCCTGAATGTCACTGATCCGTTTTCACCGCGAAAATAAACGGATTTATTAGCTTAGCCACTAAAACCCGACTACCTAACGCGAATACTTACCAGATAACAACGCATATACATACATCAAACCCTAATCTAAACCCTCGTCTGGCGGTATCACTTGTATCTGAGTAAAATCAACTATAATCAACCACTTTTTTTAGGTTTTTTTGTGTCTCCAGAGATTCACTCAAACAGTGAAGTTAACCAGAGCAACCCACTGTTTTGCAGATGACTGGTTGATACAGAGATGAGCGGTGAGAACGTGAAGTTGTTTGTGGGAAACCTTCCTTTGGATGCAACTCACGACGAGCTGACCAAGCTGTTTGCTCCGTATGGAGAGATCAACACCTGCTCTCTGCTCCGACAGTACGCCTTCGTGACCCTGAGGGGAGAGGGGGCTGCAGACAGGTGAGACACTCTTCACCACCTTTTATTTGCTGTTAGAGAAAACGTGTTGTGATGTGTGCTCGATAGGATCGATTATAAAGGAGTACGTTTATTAAATTCCTGTCAGTTTTGGATGCTTTAAGCAGAAATGTGTCTTTCAGTGTGTTTTTAAACATAAGGTAACTTAGAAGTGTGCATATATAGTGCGGGATTAAATAAAAAATGCACAAATATTTCTGTAAATGACCGTGGATGTTGCATTAATGAAAGTGCAGAGTATCAGTTATATGAGCAATAAAAAAACACAACAGAAAAGTACATTTTTTTAAAGATTACATTAATAATATATAATAATAATTGAAATTATTATGAAAAATTGTTACAGCTCACTGTGACTATGTTACAGATTATGAGCATGTAATAAACATGTGTTACAGTCCTGATGTGTGTCAGTAATAATCAAATGTGAGAGCTTGATTGTTAAACTTTCCCTTTACTCTCTCACAGGGCCATACGGCATCTGGATGGCAAAGAGTACAGAGGCCGGCCCCTGGTGGTCGAGGAGTCGCGTGCACGCCCGCCCAACTCCACTAAAGTGTTCGTGGGGAACCTCAGCGCAACGTGTTCAGCAGACGACTTGCACGGGCTGTTCTCGACCTTCGGAAGAGTTTTAGACTGCGATAAAGTCAAAGGTCAGTTAGAAAGACCATCGCCACACTGATTGTGCGATACAAATACATGTACAGGTTTTCATGGGAAGTTTTTGTCAGGTTTAAGGTTTTGTAGAAGTCCTGATGCTGTAATTAAGTACAGTGTGAGGTATCAATGGATCGCCAGATTAAAATGCTCTCTATTTAATTTAAATACGTTTTCTGGGAGCACAAAAATATCTATTCGGTTCGGTGTCTTTAAAGATAAAGATAAAGATAGATGGTAGGGATGCATTTTATTTTGAAATCATGCTAACACTGATCTCCCTGCTTCCTTTATACTCTGCAGCCAGATTATGCTCAAATGTTGGCTATGCGTTTGTGCATATGGAGAGGAAGGAGGAGGCCCTGGCAGCCATTGAGGCACTCAACGGGACCATGTACAAGGGCCGTCAGCTGGCTGTCGAGCTGTCCAAAGCCCAACCTTTGATCAACCAGATTGGATCAGCTGGAAATTCAGGCAACCCCGGTAGTGTAACAGAAGGTGGAAATGAAGGATCCACATGTTTTGCGTACGATTAAATGCTAAAAGCTTGTTTTCTTCTTCCTTCTCCTTGCAGGTGGCAGGGAGGGTCTTCTTCCGAGACCACCTCCGTCACTAGAGCATCACCAGAGTCAAGCAGCTGTGCTCGCAGCGGCTGCAGCGGCTGCAGCTGGACTACCTATACAAGTAAGTTAATTCTCTAACAGGGCATCCACCGTCTTGATCTCTAAAAACTGAGAAAAACTGAGAAAAACATAACAGCTTGTGATCCAACCCGGTTCCTTCCCTTCCCATTATCATTGTACAGATAAATATAAATGTAATCAATTAAAAATGTTTTAAAAGCTTTCGTCTTTCTTCGCAGGTTCAACAAAGTGTCCATAACTCGTTCTACAACACCACGTCCTTTGACCCCACCTACGCTGCTCTAAAGGGCATTACAAGTGCTAAAGGTGCAGATGGGGTGATATACGGCGCTCTTGCCAGCCAGGTGTATGGAGCCGTTGCTGACCAGGTGTACCAAGATATCGCCAATCACAACCCTGGATCCAGCGCCATTGTTGAAGAAGTAGAGCCGCCGTCTGGACCAGATCCAACAACGCTTTTCGAGGCAGCAAGAGCCAAGTTCTTTCAGGAGGGACAGAAGGTAGTTTATTTTAGTAAAAATGTATATTGTTCTTCTAAATGTGTGTTGTTGTTTTTTTGTGTGTGTGTGTGTTGTACGTTTTTATATTTATATTAACTTAACATACTTTCAACTAAAGGTTCTGGCAGAGCAGCAGGCAGGGAGAAAGGCAGCATCTTCAGATAATGAGCGGGACCGCAGCCCAATCAGAGGAAATCGAGCCCCCCTCCTGCCCGACCCCGTTCCGGGTTCCTTCGCTCAGATTCGACCCAAACGCCGCGCCCTGCTGCCGACACCACCTGGAGGACCCGAAGAGCCCCCAGCTGCACCCACCACTCCTGAAGGGTCAGATCCTGTTGCTAGGTACACATAACACATTTTGATATACAATGAAGGCAGATGAAAAATAAGCACATTAAGCCTGCTTCCATTTTCACATATAATAACAATAACAGTTTGTTTTAAATAGTAGCACTGCTCAACGATTACAAAATGCTTTATAAGAACATTAAACAATAAAAAAGACATCCACTTGCTCAGTATTTCACACAAGATATGACTTTTAAACTAATTTTGCTTTGTTTCTACTTTTCTTCTCTCTTTAACTGTAAACTTCACTCCAGGTCTTACACAGAGTACTACCAGCAAATGCATCAATATCAGCAGTACCAGCAACAATACCAGCAACAGTACCAGTACCTCCAGTATGCTTACACCAATCCCCCTCCTCCTCCGCCGCCTCCACCAGCCACCACACAGGCCTCCACCACAGCCACTGCACCCCCAGGGACATACTCGGCACCCCCGACCTATGCCGCATCGGGAGCCTATGCAGCACCGGGAACGTATGACACTTCGGGAAGTTACGACGCCTCGTCGGGGGGCTACAACGCTTCATCTGGGAACTACGATGCCTCGTCTGGAAGCTATGACGCATCTGGAGGCTACGGGGCACCGGGAGCATATGACTCATCAGGAGCTTACGCAGCAGTGGGAAGCTACTCCACATCCACACCGTATGAGCAGACACCCGCACACGGGCAACCCATGCCCCAGCGCCATGATTACCCTTACCACACGCCAGAACCCCCATATCGATAGTCCCACCCCCAAACACTCCTTCCACACTGCAGGTGTGTGTGTGTGTGTGTGTGTGTGTGTGAGAGAGAGAGAGAGAGTGCGCGCATGAATATTTACATAAGGGACAGTTTAAAGAGGAAAATCAGAAAGGGAGAACGGTTGAAATTCGAATGTGCTTTAAATCTGAAGCGTCTCCCCATTTCTCCACCTTAACCTAGTCTCTAGTTTGTCGGTTAAGTTAAGTGGGTGATAGAAGATTAACGAGGTCTTTGGACAAGTTAATATTGGGATATTGTCATTCACAGTTTCTGTTGGGTGTTACAGGGGCACAGCTGGTTGCTTGTTGAATGTTAAACAAGCTGAAATGTGTCTTGGGGCGAAGTTGGACTCAGAGACCAGGGTAGGCTCTCAGAGGAGAAGCCTTTTTGTTTTGTACCGGATCAAGGCCTTTTATATACTCTACAAAAAATGTGCATCGCAAAATTTGATGACAATAATTCACAAACGGCACAACCACACATTTTTAGGTAGGACACAAAATGAAAGACACTGCTAAATTATTAAATAACGATAAAAACAAAAACCATTTGGTGCTCTGACAAAAATGGAAAATTATCCATCTGGCATGTTTCTTCTACCTTTCAGTGACAGCGCTTCAGCTCATGATGATTTTAAAATATAGATCCAAACCCACACATTAGTGTTAGAGCAGGAACACCCTGTGTGGAGTACGTAACAGGCCTCGGCTTGAGTTCAGCTGCATTTGACCCTTATGTAACAGCCAGCCTGTTCGTCCAGACATTTAACTACCCAATAGTACGTGTCGGCTAGAAGAGAAAGCAGGACGGAAGTGAAATTGTGTTTGAGCGTCACATCAGCCGGGTTTTGTTGCCTTGACTGAAGAACTGTTTTGTAAAAATGGAGAATGTTTGTTAATTGACCAGATTGTCTTTGGATTCCCAGATCTGACAGGCTTAGTGCTTCTCAAACCATTCAGGTTCAGTGTATTCACGTGAGTTTTGAACCTCTCAGTTTTGGGTTAAAGCTTGTGGCTTTGGTTATGTTGCAGCCCCACTAACTCTAGTATAGCGTACCTGTTGTTTTCAGGGTGTGAAGAGTGACGACAGAGAACATTTGTAGTCCACTCAGGACTTCCTGTTTAATGTTTAAGTTTGTTAATGTATGATGGATATTACCAGTCTGTGATTGTGTGCTTGCAGTTTCAAAGTTCAGAGGGAGAGCAGAGTGTGAACTTTTGACACGACTGTGAGAACAACAGGGTCAAAATACAGCGCGGATGTCCAAACGTTTTCAGCATCTAAATTGAAGTGTACGACTTTCTTGGGAGCCATAATTTACATTTCTCGTGTTTTCTTGCTTAGCCCGGGCTCTCTGTGTGTCTTGAGGTTTACACAAACAAATCAAAATGAAGCAAACAAGTCCCACTCTCCGGAGTTAAATATGTCCTGTCAGAGATTTTGGTTAAAGGTCTGTGTTTGCCTCTAAAACATCAGAACAGAAGTAATTCACCCATCTTTCTTTATTTCTATCTCAGTTTTGTGTTGAATTGCTACCAGAGCATCTCATGCATTCACATATTCCTCTACTTCTAGGGTAATTCTCAGTTGATCCAAGGTTACAAAGACTACAAAAGTAGAGTTGTGTTTGTGCTGGTTTTGTATATACTTGAATTTATAAAAGTCAGAGGAATGGCAGCAAGCATTGTTTGGCCGATGATGTTAAAAACAGGAGCGATACAGATGCTATCATTAGCTTTTGTTCCAGTCCTATCAGCTGCTGTCGGACTTGTGCTCCCATTGGAAACCATTGGGGATTTTGGAGGGAAAGTTGAGCTAGTTTTCATACCAGAAAATGTACAAATTGGTACTCGTGTAAATACATAAACCTTATTTTAAACTGAAAAAGTAATGCCAACCAACATTTGGTTGAACGGTAAGAATACGGGCTGTTAATATTGAGATGAAGTGATTGTATTTCTTCCCAAACAGTCGGAGATACATAGTGAATAGACGAGAAGAAGTAGGACAGTTGAGTTGTACCGGCGTGGAAGGGATCACCGTAGTAGTATGTGGTAGGTGTGTAAAATCTGACGTTAAATACAATTTGAAATGGGGGGGAGTGATTTACCAGTTGAGCAGAGAGCAGGTACACGTGTTTATTTGTCCTGAATGCAGTGGAGTGGTGTGTTGCTGGTGTGTGCAGCGTAGGGTTAACGACTGAGTGGGTCTGAGGTGACGGTTGTTTTGGATTTTAGCAAAGGCCGCTGATTTTCCCGAGCAGCAGTAAGAAGGGCAGATGACCTTTCCTTTTCCCTCTTCTGATCTCACCAGAAACCCACACACACACACACACACACACACCATTTTCACACAGGATTACTGGCTTTATCTGCATTCATACCATACCTAGATAACCTCACACTCGCATCTAGACGTATTTTGACTGGATTCATTGCATTACTCATGTAAAGAAAAACTACATGTGCAAATGACACTAATGCACACCTGATTCCACCTGTATTTCACATGACTTACAGTAGCTGTCCCGTTCGTGGTTGTACATCACACTAGTTACTCATCTGATTTCTTATTTGCCACCTGAGTTGGTAGTGCTTTGTTAGGTTTAAGTGACACATAGCCTCTCTAAATTTCCACATTATTCCACCTTCTCCATGTGAACTGTTAGTTGCATGCCTTGTTGTTGCTGCTGCTCCAGCCACCTTCTTCCTCTTGCTGATTATTGCAGCTAGAGTGGGAGGGAGCCAAACTGAGCCCTTGCCCTGGACGTACGCCACACGCAGCTGTAGCGTGGGATGGGGAAAACAGCAGCGTTAGGCCTGAAAATGCTGTGGACGATGGGGTGTCCCCCCACT